CAGACCTGTTTGTATATGACTTCGGGATCTCACCTTTCAAAGTAGTTATTTCTATATTGTAAATAAATGTACCAAATGGATATATAATCAACATTTCAACTAGGTGAGCGATGAGCGAATCAAACTACACCCTTTAATCTCATACACATCCAATTCTAACATTCTCAATTTAATTCTTCTTTTCTTCAAATTAATTATACCAATTAATTTGTCAATGTAATTAGAGCATTTCCCATAATTAACATCACAACCCTAAGGTTCCATTTTCACCAATAAACCAATATTGATCTCATTTCTCTATGCCAAACATGAATATAAGTTTATATAAACAAAATCCCAACTTTTGTAAAATTACACAAAGGCCCAAACTTTTTCAAATTACCCAACAACTCCTAACTCATCAAAATACTAAAATTTAAAGACAAAACTCATGAGAAGGAGTAGGATATCCCTACCTCGAAATTAGAGCTCAAACGGGGAAGTTGAAGAAAATCAAAATGCTCCAAAATCAAAGATTCACGGATCAAAATAGAGCCCTTGACGATCCATACGCTTTTTACAAAGGCCGGAGGATAGTGAGACACTCTAACTAGATCAAATCCTAGAGAGAAGGGAGTTTTTAGAGAGAGGAGCTCTCAAAATATCTTTTTAGAAAGAGAGAGAGAGAGAATGTAAAAAGTGATTTTAAAATGCCCAGCTGTCAACTGATATACGACATTTCCGCTTGAGCGGAGAACACAACGCTCGAGCGTCAAGAACAAAAAAACTAGGAACGCTCGAGCGCAAGAAGGCCCACTCGAGCGCCAAGACACAAGAATAAAGTACATCCGCTCGAGCGCGAAAACCAGTCCGCTCGAGCGTAGATTTCCCCCTCCCAAAACTTACACCAAAAAGTACTACCCGCTCGAGCGCCAGAGTACTCGCTCGAGCGCGACCGCTCGAGCGTAAAGAAACCCGCTCGAGCGTAAAAATCACACCTGCAGAAGTTTTGTAGGGACACGAAATACTGGGAGTGTGCAATCTCCGCTCGAGCGGAACAAGGCCCGCTCGAGCGGAGCGACCAAAAACCTGGCAACAAGATTTTAGATCAAGGTTCAACCCACCTGTTCGAAACATGCCCAACACATCCTAAAACTCAAACAAATGGAATTAAAGGACGACAACAAGATAGATACAACTACCAACTCTACGGAACTGAGTTCGGAATACAACAGAACAGTAAAGGGACAACCGGAATCGCTATATTTCGTATGCATTAGCTATTGAACTTGCCTCATGCTGTCAAGCTAATTTTCGGCTTTTGTTCTTGACAAATCACTTTGATGATTTTTTTTGTTCGACCTAGTAATTTTATGAAATTATTAGTAACTTTTATGCGTATTTGCATTCATAGTGTGGATTATAAAACATTTGGTAAATTGATTGTTCTTATTTTTAATTCAATTTTCATTTTGCATTTTTTTTTAGGCATGTTGTTTTTGGCTGTAAACTTCAGGTTCATCAAATCTTGTGTGGGTGGGGATGCCCCTCTTAATTATATTTTGTAATACCGTGTGTCAATCATTTGGAATAAGACTTGTGTCCATTTGTAACTGTTTTTTAGAATGTTAAAAGTTCACTTTCTTAGAAGTGTCTGTGCTTTGTAGGTTTAATCTTCAACTTTCTAATATCCTATCATATAAACATGGAGTAGAAGGTTAAATTCAAAACGTGATCTTAACAATAGGGTTTAAAATTAGGATTTTTGCTCGGCTGACTTTATTTTAAGTGAAATTACATTGTTGAAGTTTGTAAAAATCAAAAAACATATTTAACAGTTCAAGTATTCTAGTTCTGCATAATGAAACTCTTTTTAATTAGCTGCAGTCGAGTGGAGATAAGTCTCAGCTGGCTCTTAGAGAATGATTGAGAGAGAGCAAGAGGGGGAGAGTCCCATGTTAGAAAATTGAGAAAAACAGAGAGATCTTGTGCCTGTGAGTTGCCCTTCTGGTGGTCCATCACTTTCATAGGGTGTTCTTTTGTGAAGTATAAATTATTGTGTGGTGGACATAATTCAAATGGGGGTAACACACCAGTGGTTCCTGTAGATTGAGTTGACTTTGTCTTTGTTCCTTATAGTTCTAATTTGAACAAAAAAGTTTGTAGTTTGAAGCTAGTTTTAATATGTTCCTTCCATATAAATCCGTTAGCAATCTTGACGGAAAATTAAAATCTTGCACACCATGCAAGATTTTAACTAGGGAAAATAAGACATTTTAACTCATATAAAGACCTAACCATCTATTTTCTTTATCTTCATTTTCCAGCTTCTATCTCTCTTTCCAGGCGATGAGCTTCACAATAATGATTCAGAGTTGTTCTTTGACTAAGTTCTTTGCTAAGATTAAAAAAAAAAAGAAGTACCTTTTGTAGTAGGCCTAAAAAATTAACCTAATATATTTTGTCTAGTTGAATTAATTTTTGAGATGAATCTCCTTGTGCAACTAGCGAAGCTTAACTCTCCTTTGACAGAAATTTCATTATTTTTCGTTCTTATTTAGCTAGTTCTTTGAACTTACTCATCTGCAGTTATGTTGTTGATGCTGCTGATCATGACAACATCAACATCTCAAGAAGTGAACTCCATGATTTGCTGAGCAAACCATCGCTGAGCGGTATTCCTTTGCTGGTGTTAGGCAATAAGATTGACAAGCCGGGAGCTCTGTCTAAGGAGGCTTTGACTGAACAGATGTAAGCGTTGACGGTGTCACTACCCTCGTGTCATTCTTTAGTTTTTGGTTTTCAATTTGTTTCAATTTGGAATTAAAAATGATAATTATCTTGTGTAGGGGGCTCAAATCCATCACTGATAGAGAGGTATGCTGCTTGATGATCTCATGTAAAAACTCAACCAATATCGACTCAGTGATTGATTGGCTTGTCAAGCATTCCAAATCAAAGAGCTGAGGGGGAAAGAAGGCTCCTACCTTGTATTTTGGATCTGTACTCTTTGCCAAAATTTCAGTACAGCAGATCTTTTTTGCTTGTGGTTGGTGAGATTTGTTTGACTTGGTTGCTAATTGTCATCTTAGTGTTGCCTTCATCTCTCCGAGTTGCTGTGTATTGTATATCAAGTCATTTGTCTATCGGATAGCATTTATCAGAGTTTTCCTGTTTTGAATGTGTGTGCGCGCGCGCGCTAACATGCAAGTGAATCTGGTGGTGAGGAAGGTTATGAGTACCATCTCTAATTTGCAGCCTCAAAAGTAGAATTGAAACACTTTTTAACTCATTGTATATGCGGGCTTGAAAAAGATATGCTTTTACATGTTCCTTTTTGTGCAATCATGTACTGTAATGCCAGAGAACTAGTTCAAATATTTAAAGTGATTCCTTCAGTTTTATGTTTTCATGTCAAAATCATAATGAAATTTCGATGCTTGTCTAGTCGTGTTGTGGTGGTAGACTCACAATTAATTAAGTTACTTTTAATATGAAAAAAAATAAAATAAAACAAAATTGGGCGCCTTAGGTGGATTACATTACTTTGTTCAAACATAAGTATATGCAAACCCTAATTCTCCATATCTTGGTATAATCCTCTTCTTGCCCTCGACTTGAACCACGTTACTTCATATTAGTAGTAAACGATCTTTCATTGTAGCCACAAATGAAATTTGACAATTCTGTCGTCTCCTATCGATTGGAGCTTACAACTTCAAACAGCTAAACCATGCTTAAATATTAACTCGATGACATCATTTTGCTATTGGGCTGCATAACACAGCTACACAGCTAATCTTGCCCTATATTGAAACCTGAAATACATCCAAATGCAGAGTAAATATGCAAAGCCAACGCAAAAACACAATGGGAATCGGAATGATTTTAGAAAAAAAATGGCCGCAATTCTAGTATGTTACATTCCTGTTGTATTACAAAAGACAAAATTAATTGACTAGTTTAAACTGATAGGCATTCTAAAAGATAATCATCAAGACAAAGTTCCCACTTTTAGCAGTCCATCTCCAGAAGCCTACAGATCAAAGTTCAGATCTTCACCTTCATGTACACCTGATGATGACCACGAGTCACCAACCTGACATTCTAAAACCAACATGAGCAAACTATAAATATCGAGAGACCACTTTCGGTAGAAAATTACTGCCATATGTGAAAGAAAGCAGAAAAGAAATAAGAGAAGACACTTCAATTTTTATGGTGCAATAAAATTTGGTGAAATCTCACCCTCCGATGTAAACACTGCCTTCCCAATATCAGTTGTCAAAATCAATTTCATCATCCTTCATGTACTTCTCTTGTATTGCTGCTGTTGTGGAACTGCTTTGTTAAAGCAAAACTACTCTATATTGCAATTCTAAACAAAATTAGAAGCATTACTGTCTTGAAAATAACCTTAATTAACTAAATTATCAATCGGAATTAAAGTCCTTTGATTGGTAAGAGAAAGCATATCAAGATATACAATCAGAACATCACAAGCAGAGTAGGCATTTATAAGTTACAACAAATGTGTAAACATAAGGCACTAGGAGAAATCCATAGTCTAACATTGACATGGTCTAGATATTTACCTATGCAAGTGAAAAAATAATTAGACTACCATAAATTTACTCATTACCAAACCCACAATTAATACTCATTTGTATAAAAGAAAATGTGCAGTGATGCCATATCGTAACTGCAGGAACGGATGTAAACTTGACATACCAACCTCTAAAATGTGTGGCAGTAGAATTAATAAGTGTGAAGGATGGGATATTATAGAAAATTATTGGAATTATATGTGTTGTGCTTTCCCCTCTGAAGCAGGTTCCGATCGCAGGGGCACTTCAAATAACTAAACTTACTATAATAATTCAGCTAGATACAATCATTTAAGATCTTTTGGAATGTAGTTTCTTAGCATCATCCAATTAAGATCCAGTCAGTGCTTAGTGCCACCTCCATGCATTTACACCACTTTAATGGATCCCAAAAATATATCAACTATGATGCTCACCAGATACCTAGTTATCCAAAAGGAATCGATATGTTGGTCATAGAAATCTACAATGTGTGAAAGATATTTTAATGTCAACTGGATTAAACAGATAACCAGGCATAGCAAAGAAATTTAAATGCAAAGAAGGATATCTATAATAATCCCAATCAATTGGAGCGGCAGCAATTTTGCTGAACTCAACTACACTCCCTTCTATGCCAGCAAATATATATCCATTTGTCTTGTCTATGAGCTTTACAAGATTCCCCACACTCTCTTTGTCCTGAAAAGGAGCCAGATAGCTAGTAATGTATGCTAATAACACAAACACGTAAACCTATAAAGAACAAAAAGGGAACCCGCTTGCCTGAATATCCAATGTAGTAAAGTTGACAAGACCATAGTTTTCTATTACTTCACACAGCTCCTTCGTCAGTTTCCTGGAAACACAGAAGTAAATACAGCTCTTCATTCAAGTGTGATTTCTGCCCTCAATCATGATAAAATATTGCACAAAAGATTCCACCTGTATTTAGCAGAGCGAGGGTCTTGATCAAGGTGATATTGTAAGTAAGATAAATCTTCAACATCCGTGTAGAATTCGAGATTAAAAGCTGCAAAACATAAGGCTCATTTGATAAGTGAAATATCAACAGAGAAATGTTTTATTTGAGAGATCAAGTTGGGGAGGAAAACCTCAGTTCAACCGTTGCATATCAAACAGAAAAGGATAATGAATTGAGTTGTATCTATTTCAGATATGATTTAATAGAAGCTCATTTGTACCTAGTTTTCCATAGCTCTCAATGAGATCAATTTTAGACAAAACATTGATGTGGGGAAGTTCCAGATGTAACATTGTTGATAGAGAGAGAATCAATGCACTCACATACTTTCCTGGATCACTGCAAAGGTGTGCATCTACTAAATGCACAGCCGTCAGCTGCATAAAATGAAGCCCATTTGAATTCCAATAAAAATGGGGCCAAGGTATTAGGTTAGAGTAACTGGGAATGTTAAAATGAAGAAGCATCACATACCCTAAGATCCAAATTCTTTATAAGTGTGTCGATGACCTTCTTGGCATTTGAATGGAGGAAAAATAATTCTACTTGGCCAGGGAAATCAAAGAGAAGATAATGATCTGCATGGAACAATACTGCCACATTTAGTATCTACTAAACAATTAATCTTGATGATCACAAAACTTACAGATTCATCAGATTGAAACAACAGAAATCTTATTTGGTACAAAGTACAGCTCATCACCATAATGAGCAGCACCCTACAGAAAGATGCAAATGATGATAAAACGATTCAATATTTATTCTGGAGCTGACAAATATGAAAGCATGACAAGAACCAGAAGTCCACGATGGTTGATAATCACTTCCCAAAAACAAAAAGTTACAAGTCAATGCCAATGTAGGCCTTGAATACTAACCTTTGAGAAGAGGCTTTAATTTGGACTCCAACCAGTCAACGTTTTTCTCTAAGTAATCCATACAATACACAAGACCTAGTTGAACATGGTAGAGAAAAATTAGCTGTAAGGACATCTAGCTGGAAATTCTTGTTCGAATTTAAGTCACTAGTATTTTCAAACATTAGAGATTTCTCGGAGAATAAAAGGCAACACATATGATCATTAAACTGTATGATAGTGATTGTGGTATTCTCTTGGCAGTACAACTATGTATGCAACGTATGCTTTATCACCCTGCTTAGGTTTACCTATAATACGCCTTTTTGTACTTAAATCAGGACGCTATCCAGTTTTATTGTAAAAATGCTTAAGCAGAAGTACTGACCTCCATTAGGACCAAGGGAATGCTCATTCATAACATCACTGAGTTTAATAAGATCCTCAATGTTAATGGTGCATTCATACCTATAATTTATAGGTCAAGGAAAGCATTCCAAAACAGACTTGCATGCAAAGTCAAAAAAATAAATAAACAAATAAAAACTATAAATCTATAGATGGGGAGGATACGGCAATGAATCATTTGCAGGATCCAAGTTGATTACAGCTACTTTCCTGCAAAACAATTATTAGAATTTAGAATTGTAATTACCACACAGTAATATATCATAAGTTAAAAGAGTAGAACTGTGCATGTATGTCATTAGCTAGTGATCCAATCTGTAAAAATTAGGCGACCAAAGGAATCAATACCCCCAAACCAAAAAAAAGCTCACCTAGGTGAAAAATGAAAATTTATCTTTTGGATGAACAAGAATTAAAAGAAGATTTTTTTATTTTTTATTTTTTGGCTTTCTATTTAGATGAACAATTTAGAAATTATAAAACTTCATATATACCAACTCCCATTTTTTTAGCGAAACTCATCAATTTTTTAGTGAATAAAAATATGAGTTTTAAAAGAGGTTTATGTTTCCCACCATTGGTCTCCCTTTCTCACTATTTGTAAGTCCACAATCATCCAAACAAGCAATGAGAGTTATTTTTCTTCCAATTACTTTTCTTGTCTTACCAAACCCTTCTCAATCGAAACGAACTGTCAAATATCAAGAATCATAGGTCCTAGGAAGGTAAGATAATGAATTTAATCTGTCGCATGTTGCCAATGATGATACCAGAGAACCAAAACCCTAGCTTCTGCTCTACAACTATCAATCCATGTGTACATGCATATATGTGTAAAGAGAGAAAGTAAAATCTAGAAATAGAGACACAAACCTTCCGAGAAGTTGGAGGAATTGAGACATGCCGTTGCAGTAAGTGGTCTTACCAGAGCCCGGCGGACCAATTACCACTTGACCGAACACCATTCTTGTTCGCTCTCCCAACTATTACTACTACTACCACTACTACTGCTACTACTTTTACTCAAATACCTCTCTCTCTCTCTCTCTCTCTCTCTCTCAATTCAGATTCAGATTCAGTTTCTACCCAAAAACAATCGAGAATTGAATGGGAAAAGGCTTGCAATTTGACTCCAATAAAATTTTGAAGAGAAGAAGCTCGGTCGAACCATATAGAAGAAGAACCTACTGGTAAACAAAAAAAAAATGATTTACATTACCTTAGGACAACAAAACGTCGTCGTGGGTATCAGTGAATACTGTATACGAAGTCGTTTATGCAATTCAGGGTACAATGACGGGATTGCCCTTGTCTCTCTCCTTAGAATCCTAACCCGTATTTGGTTAGAAAATTTAGAAAGATTTTTTTTTTAAAAAAATAAAAATATAAATATAAAATTAAGTATAATATAATTATTTTTTATTCACATTATATATTGATTTTTTACGGCGCGAAATCTTCATAGCCGATCTAAGTTAAAGAAGGGAGGCTTCATCCTTATCACACACAATTAACCGAACAATGATTATATAATTAATAATTGATCTGAAATATAATGTAATTAAGAATTGATTTTAATATAATATAATTAAAATTAAATTAGCATGTTAGGAATTACAAAAAAAATAATTAAAAATTTAGAATAAATTGTGATCTAAAATAAACTAAAATTAGATTAAAAAGTTAGGAATTAAAATAAATAGTTAAATATTTGAGATTAATTGTGATCTAAAATATAATTAAATTACAACTAAAATAAAAATTTAAGAATTACAATAAATAATTAAGAATTTATAATTTATTGTAATTTAAATGAATTAATGTTAAATATTATAAATTATGTGTATGACAAAGAGAACAATAAAAAATGTATAGAGTTTGAGACTATTACAATTATTTTACATCTATAGTTAACCGTATTAATGATTGCACACTTGGTTAATGACTTTCTCATTATATTTAAACTATAGAGTGTCTGTAATACTCTGGCCTTAAATCACAAGAGAGTAAAATAAATTTTACCCAACAATAAATAAATAAAAATAGTGATTTGTTATCCTCATTTTCAACTAAACATTGAGGCTATTACAATTATTTTAGATCTATAGTTAACCGTATTAATAATTGCACACTTGGTTAATGACTTTCTCATTATATTTAAACTATAGAGTGTCTGTAATACTCTGGCCTTAAATCACAAGAGAGTAAAATAAATTTTACCCAACAATAAATAAATAAAAATAGTGATTTGTTATCCTCATTTTCAACTAAACAATCTATCTCAGTTAATTCTATGGAAATCAAAATTCAGAGACCTGTAGTCTGTAATTCAAAATTAATGACACAGTTAGTTGATGATTAGTTAGCAATATATATCAACCATTATAAGATCAGGAACAAAAAGTAATAATCTTATTATTTTAATATGCATATTGCTTTTTGTTTCCCTCACAAAATTATTAATCCAACTTTTAATAAAGTCAAGGTTATAATCATGTTACAAACTAAGAAATAAATTTAAACGAAATGCTCCAAAACTTCCTCCGAAGCTATATTATGTGGATGTTAGAAACCATCAATTGTTGTATCCTCAAGTGAACAATCGATCAATACTAATTCCACTCATGTCGGGTTGAACCTTCTTCATATAATACTTGGAGCCACGGGACAAATTAATCTTTCTCCTCCTCTCCTCTGGTATTGACTTGATAGAACATTCCGAAAAACCACGTCTCACAAACCTATCAAACAGATAGTGTTGATGATTAAACCAGAGCAAGTCACCAAAACATAGTTCATCACTGCAGATAATGTTGGATTCCACATAGAAATAGCACATTCAATTATCTATTCTGTTGCATTTAAATGTACAAATCCATCAGTAAATATAAAGTACTGAAATACATAAATTGCACCATTGCAAAGATGAAGTTATAATAATAATAATAATAATAATAAGAGAGATTCTTTGAAATTATACAAACAATAATAAACGGCGAAAAGTTATAGTACTAATTCATTCATAGCGGGCAACAAGAAAGCAAAGAACAAATACCGGATTTTCCAGAAGTATAGTTGGTGATTGACTTTAAAACAAATAATAAGACTACCCTCTACCAACAACAGTGCTACATACATTGCCTTGTCCACAACTTTGGTGACCGCACATTCACCAAAGCTGTGAACAAGCTCAAAAAGGTCATCTACAATATTTGTGATTTACACATTCACCAAAGTTGTGGACAAGAAGTGCAAAAGGGCTGTGCTGAGGTAGTTTCATTGCTCTATCAGTTCACCAAAGTGCGTAACAATAGGGCTTTAGGACAGTAGCATTTGTGTAAAGTAAGTCCAAAATGGTGTAGCTTGTGTGCTTGGAGTGAGGGGATTTCATGGAAATAATATTTCAAATGGGATTTTTAATGCTTGGAATGAAGGGAATTTAAGATGGGATCAGTAATTTGGAAAGGAAATAAACGCATTTGAAATTCCTTGAAAAATAATTAGATTTCCACGGAATTGAAATTACTTAAAACAAAATACAATACACTAATTAATTTCCTCTATTACTCTCCCCTTTTATAAGTTTCCCACTCTCTGAATGCATTAGGGACATAATGGGCTACAAATGCTATTTTTCTTTCCAATTCTTCATCAAAACCAGCCAAATTAAGGGAAATTATTTCCTCTAAATTCTGATTAGCTCCAAATACTAAAATAAAGGATTTCTAAGAGATCCTTTCCTTTCCCTTTATTCAAATCCAATTTCCAAAGGGATTTGGTTCCAGACACGAGGTTATTTTTAGCTGCCCAAGGCAGAACCATCCTAGTTTGTTGCTTAACCCGGCTTGGAATACCTACAGCCAAACACACAAACTACAAATATGCAAGAAAATGGTTTGACAATTTGGTCATAATCCTTTGCTTTAAGGTGCTGGTGATAACAATATTAATTTGACAACGATGAATCTGCAATAGAAGAAAGTACAAATTCTTAAGATCATAACCTAAGACATTATATTACTTTAAAAACACAGACAACTGCACATGCATATTAATACATGGAGGGAGACAAAAAGCATACCAATCTGCAGTGCGTGTTGTAAGCAGGAAAAGCATTTCAAATCCAAGGGAAGATGCCTTCTTCTCTATGTAATCTGGAAAATTCACTTGCGAATAGATTATTCAGAAAAGTTGACAAAGGTGATACGGTCCAAGAAATTCACAGACTTTTAGAAACATTAGACATAGATGAATAAAATGCAGCTTAAATACTGTAAATGTAAGAATATTCAAATCATACCAAGTAATTTGTCTCCTTGTCCTTGCCCACGGCATTCAGGAGAAACAGCAATAGCAGCAACTTCTCCACACTTTTCTTTAAAGAAAGGAAAAAGAGCAGCACACGCAATGATATGACCCTCTCTCTCCACAACAATGAATGAATCCAGTGCTTTAAGTAGCTAAAACAAGAAAAAAGACAATAGGTTCTGAGTTCCAGTTCCAAAAACATAATTCCAACCACTAGGATCCCTTGTGATTTAACAAAATTTAATTCATCAAACATAAGAAGAGCATGAAAACAAACCTCTTCTTCGGTCCTTCTGACCAATGCGCCAGATTCTTCTAGAGGCTGTATAATTTGTTTTATCCTTCGAACGTCTGTCACCCTAGCCATCCTTGTTCCTTCATACAGATCACTGAGAAGTGAAATGGACAATTAGAGCACAAGTCCGTGAAAAAGTTGATGCTGGCAACATAGCTAAGGGGTATTACTCTTTTCTTCCTTAAAAATATATTCGTTATTCAAAATAACAGCCTGTAGACCTTAATTCTGACTCAGTTAGAACTGGATATAAAAATTAAAATATGATGCGACAAACAAATCGCCTAGTGTGATCCTATAAGATATTTATAAATTTTAAAAAATAATGATGACAAATGTTCCCTTGGTTAAAAAGGAATGGAAAAGAAAGAGAGAATAGAAATGAATATATAAAAGTAACAAATAATAAGAGAATGAAAAAACATTAGTTAGCTCAGCAAGTTCAAATGGAATGCCCTATTCAAAATTATTAGCATCTCCAATTTTATCACCAAATGGGAACTGAGCATGTGTTACAAGTTATATAACTTGAAAATTGATTTTGTGAAAATTGTTTCCTGTTAAAGAGTGCATACCTAGCCACCATAGTCCCAACTCCATCTCTTTGAAATAGTTCCATTAGTAAAACTCCACCGATAGTGCCATCTAACAAATGAACTCGCTGAACGCCTCCCTGAAGAAAAAAAAAAAGAAAAGGAAACTGAAAATTATGGTAGTGAAACATAATCCTTAGGCACCATAGGCATTCAAATTAATTTCACTAGAAGAAATTTACTATGACTTGACAATTTAACAAGAATTTTCTGAAAAAATAGAGCACTTAAGGTGAATGACTGCAATTTGTAGTCATGACTTGAAAAAATGGAAATGAACTGACTAAGAGAAAAAGGAAACCATGCATGTTAATACCAAATTACCCCTCATGAAAAATATTCCGGCACTTACGAGCCATCATTTCTACAACAATAATCATTTACTATATACAGGTTAACACAAGAGACGGCTTGAGAAAGTCTACAACTGCCTTCTGAATCTCATCCTTTCACCACTCCATATATAACACAATATGATAACATTTGACAAGTTTCACCCTGAATCATGACTTAAACTGCAGTATAGCACCAACCTCGACCCCAGAAAGCTCATAGCAAGACATATCATGCCATGCCACTAAGTAAAATTTTGAAAGCATAGCAAAAGACTTCTGCTCTGACTGGAAATTAAGAGTTATCACCCAATAGCTAACCGATGTATCTAATATTCTATCAACACACTGCTAATTTAGTCTTGCAAATTGCTAGAAATAAAATTATAAAAATGGTATGTAAAATCCATATATAAACATTTGATAAACAATAATGTTTTATTTATTTATTTTTATTTTTTAATACAACTTCATTTTATAAATATCAAACATAAAGCAGTTTGAAAGTGAAAAAAAAAAAGGATTATTAAATTACTCCCACATAACTCTCAAGAAGAGATCAGATAGCAGTTTTGTACGCTGATAATATCATTAAAAGTGCATATTTCTTTAGTTGAATTAGCAAAAGTTCGTGATTTGAGAAACTAGGCTTTTTCTTTCTTTCTTCTTCTTCTTCTTCTTCTTCTTCTTCTTTATATTTTTTATTTTTATGAAGTTACAGACTTACTCTGCAAACAAAAGCTGCAGCAGCTAATTCAGAAAGGTAGCCATTTAACCGACTCAGCCTCTCTTGACCTCCAATAGCAAAACCCTGTTCACCAGATAGTCCATTGCCATTGTCAAATCCAACACCGTTCTGAAATGTTGCAGCATACTTATCACTAACGGCCTTCCCATTCAGCAGACAGGGAACACTTCCATTGGACTTACTGTGGACAAGGCATGTGAGATCTTTTTCACTAACAGCTTTTACATAATTAGCTGCTATTTCACTTTGCTTAGCTCGTTCACGAATTAACATGTCTGCATCTTGAAGAGTTAAAAAACGAATAAGGCGTCCACACTCATCCAGGATTGGCCCATCTATAATGCAAATAAGCTTCTCTGCGCCAAGTGCTAAGGCACAAGCTGTAGCAACTTCATATGTGCTGAGATTTATAAAAGTAAAAAGCATTAGACATAGGTGTCAAGTGCTCACATATTTCTCAAACAATTTTTGTGATCAAATATATAACTATATCAGGTAATTACACAAAAAATGTAAAAGAGACCTTAAGCCAAGTAGTCGCATGGGGAGAAGTCCCATCCTATGTTACTTTTTTGAAGAATGTGTAATGTTCAAGTTTTTATAGTGTCCAAAATGATTGTAATAGTAAACCAGCCAACACAATTTTTTAATTTTTTGAACTTTGGTTGCAGGGGTCACCTCATGGTTGTGTTATGGGTTAAATTATTAGGTCTTATATGGAGCCTTTATTAAGTCTAGAATGTTCTAACTAATCCAAATTTATTTCCCAATTGCTAATCATAATCTTAGTAGAATTAGGAGATTCCAACAGCTTATAAACAATTATGTAATCTTACTAGTCATAGAGGGGTACTGTTCACAGCTCCTTAAAAGCTGTTCTTTCAGCCCCAAACCCTAAAATAGTGATTCCCAGCCAATCCTAACCCCTTCTCCAAGCTTTGGGACTTTAATTTAACATGAAGTACCATAAATAGTTGCTATCAAGAACTTCTAGTAACCAAAATTTTGAAAATCCAGCAACCTACCCTTTTGAAAAGCTATCCAAATCTCACAACCTTTTTGTCTACAAAAAACTTAGAAACTTTAGACTCCTTAAAAGTACCTTAACCTTAAAAGTTCTCTATTACCAAAACCAGCACAATTTTAATTATAGAGAGCCTTAGCCCAAGTTTCCTAGAGCTGTCCTACAACAGTACTAAGAACAAAATTGGAAGCCCATGCAAGAAACTTTCATGTGAAGTACCTGCTTCAAGTACTAGGCTATTCTGTGAAAAAGCTCAACAACAAGAGTGACCGATAGGTACCCGGATGAAGAGATAACTATTTTTGGACATGAAAAATCTCTCAAATAGAACAGAAAGAATGCTAGAGTACCTATACCTAGAGAGGTAGATATAATACTATCAAAATCTCGCATGTTAGATCTGGGTAAGGTTACAGGTAAGCAATCAACATCAGGCCAAGCTGTAACAAAAGGTACCTATCAAAAGCTATGTAGCATACTTGCAATTTAAAACTTCCCCAGAGCTGGAATAGCCAAGATTGCTTAAGATCACTATATAATCCTTATCAAGCCTCTCACGAATGCGAGCAACATCTATTTTCTTTACTTCACCTGTTGCTCCATAATCAATTCCTTCCACAACTCCTCTTTTCTGCCAAAAAAGGTAGAGATACAAGTCAAACTCTCTTCCATTAATGAAATATTACATTACAGAACAAGCACTCCACTAATTAAGCTAATGAATTACCAACACTACAAATCATATCCAAACAAGGAAAAGAAATCCAAAAGTTAATAGAAAATAACAAAAAATGATCATGCATAAGTAGTATTCTTACTTTAGCTGCAAGGAAGTTACCACTAGCGACAGTGACACCAACATCATGCCAACGACTATTGTCACCATGTCGTCGGATATTGCATAAAGAGGGTCCAGGAGACAGCTTTGCCTCTATCATAATACGAATTCTACCCGCCGCGTCCATTGCTGCCTGGAGGGAATCCAGATCAGTAATTCTGTATCGACCTACATACTTGGGCTCACTTCCTGCAAGAAGAACACACCTAGTTTCACGCTACCCCACAGAGTTTGCAGGTAAGTTGTGACCTTTAAAACTAGAAGTGTGCACACACCTGATCTTTTATACTATTCTGGTTGCAGTTACAATATGTGAGATGGTTACCTCATATGCAGGAAGAGTTTAATAATATTATAAAGTTTATCCAGGAGAAGATTCCACATGATGAGGTGAAAGGCATTAGAAATTTCTATATTTACCCTATGCACAATACTCCTGTTTTCTTTACCCTCAGTATTTTTTCATTATTTATATTAAATGGGATTCAAAGTCTTAGCTTTCAGGAATAAGAATATATAGATATATATACACAAACACATATTAGACTAGAATAGGAAGACAGGAAGAAAAAAACCCAAGGCAAAACAACCAGGTTTCACTCACCTCTCTTAGCCAAAAGCTTGTCAATTTGTACATGAGTCCCCGAAACAAGAACAAATTTGATCCCCAAACCATGAAGGAGAGAGATATCCTGTGTACAGAGATTTATTCACACTAATATCTGTAAGCCTTCATTGTGTGTGTAAATATACTTCTTCCAATTGAGAGAAGTATAAAAGAAAACAAATTCTTTACATCCTCAAATTATGTGTATACATAATTACATGCATTAAATATAACTTGGAGAGATTCAAAGGAAGTTAAGGAACACACCGTCCAAACATAAAAATTGATAAAATTCCAAGAAAGAAACAAAAGCAGAATATTAATTTAAACCCTTATTGATGTGTTCAAGCATGCAAAGAAAGCGAGAATATCCCTGTTCTACATAATATATATTCTCTTTGCCTAACACATAATACAGTTTGTTTAGAGTCTCTTAACTTGGAGAAATTGAAAGGAACACACAATCCATGTCCATCACAAAAATTGATAAAATTCCAAGAAAGGAAGACAAAAAAATAAAAATAAATAAATAAATTTATAGTAACTTTTAAACAATTGAATTAATTAAGACAAATTCAACTCAAGCAACAATTACAAGCAAAATAAACTATTCATCACATATACATTCTACATATACATATATTATGCATACATATATAGAGATATGGGAAAACAGAGGTAGTAGTAGTAGTAGTAGTAGTAGATTAGAAACGTGCCATCAAAATGGGATTCAAGTAAGGGCTATCAATAATTTCAGCGGAAATAATGACAACAAAGGTTCCTCCCCGGTGAGCTCGAAAGTAGGGCCAAGCCTCGCGAAAAAACCTAACGAACTGTTCGTCTTTTACAGAGTTACTGGCATCGAAACTGGCATTATCAGTTTCAGTTTCAGTTTCGCTGAAATCATCACACCTCACAGTCACAGACATTTTCTTCCCCGAATTAACCACGGAAGAGAAGGAATTCATCGATCCGAAACCATTTCGAGGCCAGGAAACGGTGTTCGGACGTGGAGAGGGGGGTCGGTGGAGGTTCCGGAGAGAAAGGAAAGGGCTTAAAGGCGAAGCGGCCATGGAAGTCATGGATTGGAGAAGAAAGCCCTAAGTTTGAGAGCTAAAGAGAGTTTGGAATCTGCTGGTGGCGGAGGCGGTGGCGGTGGCGGTTCATGGCGTGGAATTGTTTGAAATAGACGGCGGAGGAGGTGGAGGTGAACACCGCCGTTGCCTTGAATGGTAGCCACTCTCGTGGTGTTGAAAAGAGACAATGGCCGAATCCGAGTTGGGAAATCAATGACCAAGCACAGCGTCAGCGTAGAGTGTGTCGGGATATTCTTTCATATAGTTTGGTTGGAGTCCCTTGATCATCATATAAAACCGTTCATTTTATAAATTTTGTAATAAATAAATAAATAATTTTTTTTTATAAAATTTATAGTTTAAATTTAAAATTTATGGTTATTATTTATATTTAAAAATAAATTATCATTTATTTATATGTTTGGCGATATCTTGATGAAATTAATTTTTTTGCCTAACTTATCTTAACTGTTAAGCTTATAAGATAAATAATTTAACCTGACATTATAAACTTGGGATAAAACCTACAAAATATAAAGTATAAAAATGTATAAAGTAGAGCCATTCCTAAAGAGTGTATGCTTTGAACTCGATTTTATTCACACACCATTAACACTTGATGAGTGGTGAAAATTAATGAAATTTACTTTTTTGATTCATAAAAATAATGAAATTTACACTTTTTAATTTGTTAATACGCTTTTTAAATATAAAATCTATTATTTTTTATCAATCAAAATTTATGTAATCATTTTAAAGCGAAATGCTTATCAAAATAATAATTAATTATAAAAATATTATCATGATATTATTTTAATAATAAAAAATATAATACTAGTTTTCCTATGATCACAATGGGTAGCCGATCTTTTACACGTTTTATTTAATCAACCATTGGAAAAGATGATTTTGTTGTCGAAATTTAATTAATCAATCATTGGCAATATTCGAAGATTTTTAAGATTTATTTAATCAATCATTGGTGATATAAGGATTTGTTTGAAATAATCTAAATAAGTGCATTTTTTAACTTTTTGTGAAATATGAGTTGGGTATGATGTGGTAGAGAAGTGATGTGACTTAAATAAGATGATAACTTGAATAGGATAGTGACTTTTTAATTTTTTTAAAGCATCTCAAACAAGATTGGTTTGGTGGTTTCCTTGGATTTGATTTAAGAATTTGGTATGGCTTCTGTCTAGTTTAGGATCAGACTGGACCGTGCTGTTGAGCCTGTAGGGGTCCACTACGGATCCCGTTTTGATAATCTGAACCGTTGAATGTGTAGTACTCGTCGAGTACTATATGCTTGAAAAAAATCACGTTATTGAATATTGATAGCTACGTGATCAAAACAGGTTTTTGTCAACCGTTAATTTGTTCACCGTCCAATTTTTTTAATACGAAACTGATTTGATCATATAGCTATCGATATCCGATCAACGTGATTTTTTACAGGAATATAGTACGCGACAAGTTCTACACATTGATCGGTTCAGATTATCAAAACGAGACCCATAATGGACTTTCACAAGCCCAACAATACGATTTAATCCGATCCCAGACGGAATAGAAGTCCTACCCTAAGAATTTTATCGAAATTGTTGGGAAAGACGATGATATGTTTCCCCAGGTGAGAAAGATGGAGAAATTATTGGGTAAGATTTTAAAGTATAACGATCAGGTGAAGGTGGCAAGTGGGGGCAACACCGTTGGAGAGAGGAGAGATAAGTGAGGAAATGATGGCTAATTTGAGATTTTGAACTTTGTTAATGATTTTGTTCCAAAAAAAAAAAAAAAAAAAAACTTTGTTAATGACAATTTTGTCTAAATAAATTAATTTGTTTATTTTTTAATATTATTAAAGTTGATTTTTAATTTGTAAAAAAAATGTCAAAGGACCTAAATTTATTAATTTTTTAATCAAAATAAGGTTAAGCCAAACGAAACCTGAAAATAAACTTACAAAAACATTATGGCAAATTTTAATTTATTTCTTAAGTCTCTTTTGAAAAGTGAGTTAAAAGTCACTTCTTAATTTTAAACTCATTTTGAATTATATCATCTGTCACATTTTTTACAGTTTTTTTTTTTTAAAAAAAAAATAATTTTTAACCATTTTTCCAAAACACTCATATTATCACCACAGTTATAGTTTATGAAGTGAAATATGCTTTAAAATAGACTATGCCATGTTTGAAAATATGTTATTTTAATATTTTTTTCATTTTTTATGAAAAGATGTATAGAAAAATAAAAAAAGTGATGTGATAACTTATAATAACTTTTTGACTAATTTCCAAACGAGACCTACAACACTTTTGTACGTAAATAACTTCATACACTTTTGTTAATTTTTTTAGAACAAAATTTACATATATTTTATTCTGGGTACAATTTACCACTTAAGATTTTAAAATGAGCAGATAACCCATTATGCCTTGGTTTAGTACGTGGGTTGGTTTTTTAATTTTTTTGGTTATTTTAACATAGAGTTAAAAAGTTTCGTTTGTGATAGGTTTTTTGACTTTTTTGACTTTGTGAGAGAAAAAATGATATAATTATGGTTTGAATGTGACATTTTGTCTTATTGAGTTAATAAACTTATTTTATCTTTTTGTGACTGAAATAACCCCAACTCAACCCAAACCTTCATGCCAAACCTGTTTGGTAGGGCTTATTTCCAACTTATTTCAGCTTTTAACTTAATTTAAGTTATTTTGATGTGTTTGGTTCAGCTTAATAAAACAGCTTATAACTTTTTGTAAGTCAAAAGTCAACTTATTCTTTGAGGTGTGGAGAGGAAGCTTAATTTATAAGTCAAAAATCAGTTTATGTTCACAGTTATAAGCTATAAACTGTTAGGTTATAAGTTATAATCACTTTCCCACGGTTCTACCACACGGGATCATAGCCTATGTCTGGCATGTGTTTTAAACTTGATGCTAATTTTGACAAAAAAATTTAACTATACAATTTAATCCACAAACTCTAAAAGGAAATAAGTAGTTATTTTCAAATGATAGTGGAGTATTCACCCACATAAGCAACATCAAGAGGATAAATTGAAATTTATCTACTAAAAAATAGTTGTTTGACATTTTTTTTGTTCTTTTGGCATTTTAAGGGTTGTTTTGGAGAAAGATTTATAAATTAATTTTTTTTAATTTATTATGAAAAGATATAAAAAAAAATAGAGAGGTGATGTGATTAGAATAAGTCAATAAATCAAGAAGAATTTTACATATATTAATAATTTTACTAAAATATATAAGTGGCCAAATGTGATTGATTATTAAAAAAGTAATGATACTTAAATATCGAATGATGACATGCATATTTTTAATGAAATTGTTAATGAAAATTTAAATAGATGTAATATTACGCATAAATCAATAAATAACTTATTTATGTTTCAAAAACTTTTTAAAATAATTAAAGCTGACTTTCTGTCTAGAAATAAATTTATCAAATGAACTAATGGCTTCTGTCCAGTTCTTAATCGGATTGGATTGTGTTGTTGGATTCGTGGGGGTCCACCACGGGTCCCGTTTTGATAATCTAACCGTTTCAATGTGTAGAACTCATCGAGTACTATACGTCTGTAAAAAATCACGTTAATCGGAATCGATAGCTATGTGATCAAATCAGTTTTGTATAAAAAAAATGGACGGTGAATAAATTAACGGTTAACAAAAATCTGTTTTGATCATATAACTATTGATATCCGATCAACGTGATTTTTTATAGATATATGGTACTCGACGAGTTCTACACATTGACGGTTCAAATTATCAAAAGGGACCCGTGGTGAGTCTCCACGGACCCAACAGCACTGTCCAGTCCGATTAAGAACGGGACAGAAGCCATTCCCATTTTTTAAAACCAATAATTGAAAAGCTTGTTCAATAAAAATGTACAAATTTTTTATTGAGGCAAAAATGGCGAAAATGAAGCAATGCCTCTCAAGTCGTAGGCAAAATGCCAGACGGACGGTGGCCGGCGGGTGAATACATCTCATACACCAAGAACTTTACTTAAGGCTGGTTTTTAGTACTTATTTATCTTTCTTTTTTTTTTCTTTTCTTTTAAATCGTAACATTTTTTTTTTTACATATTTTTTTTAATAAAAAATTAAAAAATAAATTTATTTAAATCATTCCTAACCATCCTTTAATTAACAAAATGTCGAGAGAGAAAGGAAGTGAGATAGAGATTACGAGAGAGAGATTATAACCTCAAGTATGGAGTCCAAGTAAGGACTGTCAACAATATTAGAAGATAAAACCACAACAAACGTAGAGCCTCTATGAACCCCAAAATAAGGCTGAGCTTCTCTCATCATCTTCACAAACTTCCCATTTCCTTCTTCCTTCTCCTTCTCTATCGAATTCCACACCTTCCCACCACCACTGCACCACCGCAGCAACACCCTTTTCCTCTCTCTTCTTCCATTTTCCTTCGCCGGAAAATCAACTCTTCTGATTCTCTCCCCCCAAACCCAATTCCATAAACCCAAACTTCCACAATGATCTTCCAGGCCATTCAAAGGTATTGATTTTGAAACAGCCATGGCAATTGGACATACATATATGTACCCAACTCAGAAAAACAGTATTTTAATAAATATATAGCTTGGAAGAGGGTAAGTAGAGCAACAGCCAAGTGAAGAATATCAATTGAGTGACATGTGTTCTCTTATATCAACAGATGGCTCTTCCATGGTAAGGGATATATAGAGGTGGCTTTGTATCTAACCTGCTTTCTGGAATAGTTCGAGCTTTTCTCATTATGTAGAGAGAGAGAGAGAGAGACAGAGAGAGAGAGAGAGGGAGGAATTACTCTGTGTTTTCAAAGAATATATCCAGTGTCTTTGCTCTAGTTTTTTGAATTTAATTTTTTAAAAATTTTTATTTTATTTTTTTGTATTTGTTTTGTTTTTATTAAATATTTTTGAAATTTTAAACAATTTTTTTACTTTTTCGAATTTATTTTACTTAGATATATCTAAATAGTAAAATATTTATGAAAAAATATTTTTAAAAATTAATAAATACACAAAAATACGAAAAATATATTGAATTTTTTTTTTATTTTATATTTTTGATATTTAGTGATTTTTTTAAAGATTTGTTTCACAAATATTATAATTTTTAAGTGCATTTATATTAGGTGTGTCTAAAAATTAAAAAAATCAATGAAAATAAAAAAAATTCGAAAAATGAAAAAGTAAGGCTCTGTTTGGTAAGGCTATGGAACTTTAGTTCCACTTTCA